ACATGAGAGTTGACGTTTGGACTCCACTTACGGTGTGTGTGGGGGTGGGTATGTGCTAGGAGAGCCAACTATGCAATTAGAGGTTTGGAAATTTCAGTCCCACCGGGAAGGGGACAAGGAATGGAGGTTGAATCCATCGCCCAAGGCCAATGATTTAATCAGTCATGGCCACGCAATAAAGCCTCCATAAAACTCCAAAGGGAGGGTTTGTTTGAAGGGCTGCCTGGTTGGGGAATACTAGGAGGTTTAGGGAGAGTGGGGCCGGGAGGAAGCGTGGGAAGTCCACACCCTGAGCATCTCTTCCCTCTGGCTGTTCTGAGTTATATCCTTTTATAATAAACCAGTAATCTAGTAAGTAAAGTGTTTCTCTGAGTTTTGTGAGCTGCTCCAGCAAGTTAATTAAATTTGCTGAGGGTGACATGGGAACCTCTGATTTACAGCCAGTCTGTCAGAAGTACAGGTAACAACCTGGGCTTTCAGCTGGCACATCAGAAATGGCAGGGGCAGTCCTATAGGACTGAACTCTTAACCTGTGGAATCCGATCCCATTTCTGGGTAGATTGTGTCAGAATTGAGTTGAATTGCAGGACGCCCAGCAAGTGTCCTGAGAATTGCTTGTTGGTGTAGGTAACCACCCCCTCCCACACTGGAATTGGTACCAGAGCCTATTTACCTTCCAAAAGCCTCACCTCGGAATACTCTGCAATGGGGATTCAAGCTTTCACTTTTGAATTTGGAGGACACACAAACATTCAGTCCATAGTACCTACCAGAGATGAGGAACCCTGGCTCGGGCAATTCTCTTCTGCAAGGCCTTCAATCAGCCCTTCAGCTCCTCTCTATGCAGACTGTCTGATGCCTTTTCTGTGTATGTACAGCTCCAGATATTTACCCACTGCTAGCACTTACTCTTGATTTGTTTATTTATTATACCACACTATGAGTTGGCAACTTTTCTTAAAGAGCCAGGAAGTGCAGTCTGTCAGAACCACTCAGTTCAGCCGGTGTGTAAATGAATGGACATGTTTGTGTTCCAGTAAAACCTTTATGGACATTAAAGTTTCATATAATTCTCATGTGTCACAAATATTGTGCTTTTAAAATTTATCAACCACTTAAAATCACAAAATCCATTCTTAGTGGGCTGCACAAAACCAATTATGGGCCAGATTTGGCACAGACAATAATTTGCTGGCCTCTGTGCTAGATCGCAAATAGTTGGGGGTAGGAACTGCACCTTTGTTTTCTCTCCCTTCTACATAGCGCCAGTGTGGGCTAGAGTGTTATACAATAAACATGGGCTAAATTAGTAAACTAGCTTGTAAGTGCTTTAAATCCACACATGCTTTCTCAATAGTCTTCCAAAATTTGAATTGGACAGCGAATGAGTTCTTCAGTAGGAGAATTTAGGCCAACCCCGGATTTGTGGTCTTCGTCTAGCACAATTCTGTGGTGCCTTCCCCTGTAACTCCAGTGTCCCCCAAATGAAGGCCAAGTGTTGCCAAGTTGAAGGTGTTTTAACTTACTCATGCACTTAGAGATTGCAGACTAATGAGAATTTACCTGTTTTCTACTGATTTCAATGTGGCTTCACTCTGAAAACAGTGATAAATGTTTCAGCAGAAAATTTTAGATACATACTAGAACAAAAAGGATAATTTCTTCCCAATACTATGTCTGCTTTATGCCCTTCATATTGACATGTTCAATAAGAGTAACCATTGTGAAAATCACAGAAATTGTATTTGTGAAGTACTTCTTTCCTATAGAGATTATTACACCACTTAAGATCAAAGGTAAATGGAGATTTTTTTTTTTAATGGCCTCTTTAAATTATGGAAGCAGCAGACTAACACTCCAGCAGGCTGTTTAAGAAGCAAGATGTTAATCACAACTTTAATACAACCACATTTTTGATAACAAGGTAAGGTGATTATTAGTCATGCTTGACCACCTGTAAAATGCTGACCTAATACGTATATTGGCTGAATATAAAAAAGTGTTTGGCACCTTGCCCAAGGTCATGGATAAATTTGCAATCTCATCAAGTTGTGTTCATTGTTATGCCAAATATCCCAAACACTCTTTTACTTAGAGACATTTCAATAGTCCGTGTAAATGGAAATCAGAAGATAAAATGTGGAATTCTGCTAATCTATTTTTAGAGATTCTTTTTCAACACATGGATTATGAAATCAGATAAATTTAGTTTAGACTTTTTAATGTAACATGAAAGTCTACCTAGGCTTACATTTTTCAAAAAAAATTTGCATCATGTACATAACATCTCATACATAAAATTACATCAATCAACAAATATACCCAGTGCTTATCAAATGAACAGCTCATTTTTTGAGGTAGAGGGGATGTTATAAGAAATGAGACAGTGATATTTCTCTAAAGGAAATGTACAAACTTATCTGAGGAAGCATGATATAGACATAGCAGAGATAATGAATCTTATCAGTAACATGTGCTAAGTGTCTGTGAATGACAGAGATAGAAAAAGCTCTAAGAGTTTTCAGGACAGAAAGGTGGTGTCTATAGGTGGGACCAAGGATGGAGCCTGGCCTTGAAGTGTGAACTCAGACTTAAAATGCTACAGACCACTTGGTCACCCCCACCCTCTGCGAACACACAACTGCCAAGCCTTTACTCTTATGCTCATTGCTGCTATTTTCACCAAGACCCCCCTAATTTGACTCCTGAGTTCCTGTGATCTACGCATGGTGCTGATTTGTTTGAAACTGCCCACACCTGTTAAGAGAGCAATTTTCCTCCCACTGAACTTTCATCATACTCTGCCCTACAGTTTTTTACATAGTTATTTGGCAGCACCAGCGGTGGCCTGTATTCTGCTTGACTCAGATGTCTCTGAGTCCAGATTATACCCTTCCTAGCTTAATCTATTTCAGCACTCATGTGATCATATCTATTGGTTTAAGAGCTGTAATGGAAACTTTTAAACACATAGTGCTGCTAGGAGTATTCGTTGTGACGTCTTTCTGCAGGGCAAAACCTTAAAATGTAAGTATGCTTTACTTAGACATTCCATTTCTAGCCATCCCTTTGAAGTGTATTTAAAGATCATATATTGGCACAACTACTTTTTTATTGCTATTATTTTTTAAAATAACAATAATTGTTGGTATATTTGTCTTTTGGAGGGAAGCATTTCTAAACTGAAAATACCTAGAAACCATTCAGAATGAGGATGAATACAGAAAAGTTTGATTATTCTTGTATTTGACATGTTTTTACGTGCTCATGGTGTAGCCTTTAAAAATTTTGTTCTTTGTTTTGTCTTCTCAAGATGTCTAATAGCATTGTGTTGTTCATCAAATGAATCCTTGCTTCATCTGACTGGCTTTCAGGGCCTTCAGTCAACCTACTCTCAAATTACGTAGCAACCGTACAGACATCGCAGCCATTTCAGTTTGTTCCAGCCCTAACTCACTCCTAGCGGTGCTCTTGTTTATGGACTTTTCCCACTCTGTTGCATTTTGTCTATCTCTCAGTGCTATCAGTTTGCAAGGTTCTACTTAGGAGTTTTTTCCTGATTTTTGCAGTCCTACGTGGCTGTATCCTTCAGTCTTCCGGTTTGTCCTAAGCAAGCAGGTGTTCTGGAAAGGAGCCTGGATTTAGCAGAGGAACTAGACTGTGGCTGGAGAATACCTGTGAGATGAGCTTTGTTTTTGATGACTGCTCATTTTTAAAGGGTATTAGAAGTGGAGCCGTGCACACACCAGTCCTTGATGCTTTGTTCTTCTTCTACTTAACTATGTACATTTTTTTCTCTAGTAAAGAGCTGGCCAAGAAGGAAGGCATGTTCTAGTTCCTAGCTTCAAACAATTTGCAAGGGAAAATTAGGTAAAATTGAAAGATAGGGATTTACTCTAGAGTGCAATATTTCCTTTATTATCTTCCCCACAATCGTCTCTGTGTTAGGCCCTTCCCAGAAGGCATACACATGACCTAATTACTCTGTTTTCTCCTGTTCCTTAGCTCCACATCTTGATCCATTGCATTCACAGGGCTTAGTCTGAGATCTATGTAGATGAGAAATTGCATTTTCTTATCTTTCTATGTTTGGCTCATTAAACTATATCTTGGCTCCATTCTGTGGACTTGCGCAACACCTTGGACACACGTACCCCATGGTATGGTATGTGAACTGGCTTTTTTTAGTTCATGTGGTAACTTAAAACATTTTAGGTTATGAAAATTTGCAAACATACATAAAAATAGAGAGGATAGTTAAATAAGCCTCTTGTATACCCATCGCACGAATTCAATTACCAAGATTTCAGTATACCTTCTTTTAAAACCTAAGTTTATCTTGATGTATTGTTCTGTTAAACTGAAACATTTATATTTTTCTGAAACTTGGCTCTTAGTCATGTGCTTAATAGATCAAATGGTAAAATTCTGCGGTGTTTAGTTTCATCATTTAATTGTTCATTGTCATAGGCAGTGGTAAGTAGGAGTAAAAATTAATATTTGACAAACATTATCTAATAACTTTATGTGGTAAATTTAGGCACAAGTTACAATTTTTAAAATGAGCTTTGTGTAGAAATCATTATATAGTTACTAGTATTTCTATTCAATTAAATTTGCCCCTAAACCTAAAAATTGAATTTTCACATCTAATTTCTGCAATTAAAGTATGGTCATGTGAATCATTAACACCATTCTGGGTAATTACTAGAGAGTGTTATTACTTGTAAACCTCTCTCTCCATACGATTTCCTTCCTATATAGTTGTAAAATTACTAAATACTTTAAATGTGTATTTAGGCTAGGAAACTTCTATTAGACATCAATACTAGTATGGAAAATTATGAATACTTCTTAAAATATGATGTTATGATATTAGCTTTAAATGAAGGTAAGTCATTTACGTACCTCTCATGAATAACTCATCTCTTTTGCAGGATACAGGTCCCTGTTAAAATTCTGTCATTAATTTTTCCCTCTATTTTTCCCTATTTTTCTAGCTCTTGTAAATGTGAAGCTCTGGGCTATTGATCGACAATGTTTTCAAACAATAATGATGAGGACAGGACTCATAAAGCATACCGAGTATATGGAATTTTTAAAAAGGTAGGATGTTTTCTTTTCTTTTTCGGAGATCGTTTAATGCCTTTACATACAACCCTCTTCTCTGAAGCACAAGGAAGGTTTTTGTTTGTTTGTTTATTTTTTATTTTTTATTTTTTTCCCTATATCTCAGTCTAGTCTTCGTAGTCTACAAATTTGTGGAAGTGCAAGACTTTGCACCGGCGTCTTCATATTTCTGGTGACTATTTTCATAAGATGTGGTTAAGTCAGAACATCAGAATGTCATTCAACGTTCTCTCATGCAGGAGTGCAGCTCAGAGAAAAAATGAGAATTTGCTTGAACAAAAAAGATATTGGGCCCATCTCTAACTATGTATTAGTTAATGTATTCATGGTACCTCTTCTAAAGCAACATACCCTGCAAGGCTGAATCATCTCTTGTGTGAGTTTCCATATTAAAGGTCAGATGACTAAGATGGAGAAGTTCCAAGAAGATGCTTATTATCCTTTAATCTTGAGTTTAATTTTCCAAATTAAATTCATTTTATGTTGCAGTTCTGAAATATCAAAAGCTTTCCTTTTCTTGATATTACATATTATCATAATAACTCAATTTAGCAAGAATATTGGAATAAAAAAAAAGCTCTTAGGAACACACTGAGATTCCCTGAAATGTATTTCTTTGTCTCTCAGCTTGTTTGAAAGAAAACACATTATTTTGTTATTAAAATAATATTGACAACTCTGACTTTTTTCCAAAAAATAGTTGTTTGGTATCATTTTTCATTTGAAAATAGAATCGTTATTATGTGAGCTAAAGGGAAGTGTACCACCAACTAAGAGTTCATTTGAGAGTTAACATATTAAAGTGCCTCTTTCGTTTTGCATTTTAATTTTTGCTGAAGAAATGGTGTAAATGGAGCTAAAAGAATCAAATTCACATTTTGTTTCAGTGATACATCCTAAGTGATATCTATTAAATCTTCTTAAGGTGCAATTTTAATACTCTTTACTTTGATATTTCTTATGATTAGCTTATTTTGTTTCTGATTCATTGTTTATGTTTTTATTTTCACATAAAATTTATTTTTCATATTCTTCTAAAGAGGCAATAAAATTCTATCAAAGCTTATTGTATCAATGAGATTGGATGAAACATTTAGAAGAAGGGGCAATGTAAATTTCCATTTGGAGTTTAGTGTGCAAGGAAATTAAATTATTGAGATATTGTGTGTCTCTGTATGTGTTGATATATGTGTAAATATGTTGATGTGTATGTTGACATACATAGGTATATATGTTGATCGATATAGAGAGATATAGGTGTGTCTCTGAATGTACATGGAGAGAGAGATATGAATATTCATTTTTAAGCCTTGAAGGACAAGTATGGATTTCTTCTGATACAGTCCTCATGGAGATAGATTCCAACTGGTAATCAATGAAAGGCTTAGGACAGAGCCCCTTATCTGTCTCATGTACTTAAGCACTGGGAACTTATGACCTTAGTTCAGCTTCCGTAAGGTTGTTACAAGGAAATGGAAGGATTGTCAATGTTTCCTTGTATAACTCCAATAAAAAAAACCCCGCTTTTTAGAGGCACTATTTCAGGAAATGGAGGTTGGAGATATCTCTTTTTTGAAGTGACTCTACATATAGTTTTATTTTTATACTATTCTCAGAGCTGCCTAAATCTGTTCTTATTCTGACAATTCAAACCTTAAACAATAAAAGTTGGTTCCCCAGAGTGCGTGAATATTTCTTGTTGGTCAGCTTAGAGCAGGTAAAGTGTAGCTGGTTGAATTAAAAAGAGGTAGGCCTTGACTTTATGGCACTGCCCATCTGGCTACCGTGTAAAACATCAAGTCCACATCATTTGTGGACATAGCGCAGGCCTGGGAATTGAGAGAGGTGACACAATGACCATCATTGCCTGGGGCCACCTTTAATCTTCCCTAAATTATGACTGTGACTGACTGGTTCTCTCTCTAATCCTTCCGTGGCTCATGGGTCCTGTTGAGTTACGTAGAGCCGCATCAGCCGGATATGCAAGCCCTCCCACAGCCAACGCCGGCCTGCTTTTTCAGCCTGGTTTTTTCTTTCCTCTGACAAATGATTCCATGTGCTCAGGCAGACCCTGTGCTTTTATATAGCACGCTGCTTCACTTGCCTTTTTTCCCCAATGTCAGTGCTCAAGCCTCTCTTTTTTTTAGAGCCAAGTATAAAAGCTGCCTCTTCCACGGACAGCTACTTCATCCCACCAAGACATAACCTCCACCGCCTCTGGAGCTTCACCTCTGCCATGTGTCTTATTTTCTACTTGGTTTTATTGTCGTCTGACTACTCAACTTATTTCTACTCCTAGATGATGAACTTTTCATGACTAGAGCTATTTCTTAAGCACCTTGTTGTTCTTTGGCAGAAAGCTTCCTGCTTTGTAGATAGGAAGTTCGTAGGACAGTAAGAGCAGGATTGGTAATTTGTAGTGCCTAGTGCAAAATGGAAATTTAGGGCTCCTTTTCCAAAAATGCTAAAAATTGTCAGACAGTGGCAGCATGGGATTAAAGCAAGCGTGGGGGTCTTCTAAGCTTGGGCTCTGTGCCGTTGCACAAATTTGCACTGATGGAGCTAAGAAAGTAAATAATATTCATCCCTTCTTCACAGTCCCAGCTTAACTAATACTTATGCTATCATTAATTTTGCAAGGCTGTTAAGAAATGGCATATTATCTCCAAAAGAAAGGATATTGTCAAAAAGTAAAATAACCAAAATTAATTAAATTTTCTCCCATAACTTCCAAATTGTATTTATTCCCCATTCGTTAATTTTAAAAATTTTTGCTTACCATTCTTTTACCTCATGTGAAATTTTAAAAAATGTATATAGTCGACTCAATCAACATTTTTCCTTTCTGGCATTATGTTTAGAAAGGCTTACTTATGTTATCATTATAAAAATATAGACTTGCTATTTTAAAGTTTTCTGTAGCTATCTATTTGTGAATGGGGATGTGTATTTTTCTCTTATGTGCCTACTAAATACAACTTTCAGTTGAATTTTTCTACTAGAGACATTATATACTTTATATTTTGTTAAAGGATTGAACCAATTGTGTGACACTATCAAAAATATATAAAAACTGTAGCAAATGATATTACCAGTCATCAGAATTCTTTGAAGGAGGGGCCCTCTGTGTGCACTGGAATGCCTTCTTAATTGAGGAATTTCAGGTCAGGCTAACAGAGGAATGATTGTATATTACTGCTCTTCTCTCCCTCCTACTCTTTTTTTGTTGTTGTATTTTTCTAAATAAACAGTCAGTTTTGAGGGTGAGGAAAGGGGGCAGACCAGGAATATTGATGCTTTGCCAGAATGCAAGGATTTTTCTTGATTGTCAAAGTAGATTTTTATTTTCATTCCAGTGTATTTGCCCATTTTGTAACTACCAGTCATGTGGTCTGGCCCCATATTTGCTATTAAATGCTGCATCGAACTGTGATTCTGGTGTTTAATCCTATTTAGTCATTTGTCTTTGTGCCTGTACTTCACATTCTCTGATGTAAACACAGATGTTCCTATGCAAGTAGAACAAAAAGAATATTTGCAGGGCATTGCTGTTAAGTAAGCCACGATTACTATGGGTCCAGTAGCAATTTTGACAGTTGCTAGCATTTCCCATCTTCTTTGGTGACTGAAAAGCTTTTGTTTTTAAGATGGATTCTGAAAACTGAGCCAAAGAACTGCCAGAGTTATTTGTGTTGCTCTTTTTTCCTGAGCATGGTTTCTGCGCTGCTGTTGGCGCTGGCATCTAGGCCCAGAAGAGAATTAGAATGCAGCTGCGTGGCTGCTGGATGTGCTTACAGGGGCTGGGTTTTCCGCTGGCCCCCGACTTTGATGATGACAACAATGATGATGATGATGAACTTCTGTTTTTATTACTTGCCTTGCTGACAAATGGGAGACACAGCGAGGAGTCTTTGGAGTTTAAGCTGCTCAATTGGTCCTGTTGACCCTCAGAAAATCTTTCTTTATCTACTAAGGCATCTTTTGGTAAGGCAGGGATGCTGATGTCATCTTCCTACGTTAAACCTTTCCGTGACTTCTTTTTGCTCCTAAGAATAAAGCCTGGGTCTAGAGAACTGTCTTCAAAGCCCTTCGTCCCTTGGTTACTGCTGATCTCCCCAGATTCACCTGGTTCTCTCCATTCCCCTTCCTCATTCTCTCACTGCTCCGGCCCCATAGTGGGCTTTCCTTTTCTTGTACACTCCATGCTCCTTCCCAGTGAAGATCATTCCAAGAGATTTTCCTCCCTCTGAATGGATGTATTTCCCAAGTATGCCTGCTGTTGGGGAAAAAAAAAATCGATTATCCCTCAAAGCAATTTTAAATTTCTGATTTTCCTTTCCTGAGTAGAAAGAGGCATTGATACATTAGCCCCCAAGTTTCTCACAGTAGTCTCTGTAAATAGAATTTTACAGTTTTGAGATTTTCAAGATCTTTGTTTGGTTCACAACTGACTCTCCAACCATTAAAGAACTTGGAGGTATTTTTCAATTTTAAAAATATCCATCATGTGGTTTAACCTCCCTTAGGCAGATGAGTGGATCTTCTCCAGAAATTCTTGGTCACTGGAAACTAATTTATAACAAAGGCCAAAAAGCTAATGACCCCCTGTGAGGGTCTCAGCGGCATCCACAGGCAAGGAGTCAGGATGGAGGGCAGGCCTTGGTAAGTCATGGAGCTGCTGTGGCGATTCCTCCTTCTGCCACAGCTCCCTTGCTGAAAGCCCTGCTACATTTCGGTGCTCAGTAAGATTTCTTATTCTTTATTTTCATCTCTAGAGAGTAAGCTCCAAATTTAATTTGTTTTCCCCTTTTATTCTCTAAAACAATAATACTTGTTTATGTACTTAACATATCCTTAAATATATTACATACCTGTGAATATTAGAAAAGGAAGGGTTGTCCCTCCCAAAAGTATGACTGTTATTAAAAATTTGTGAAGTAACTTTGATATCAGAATGGCCTTCATGATGAGGATAA